TAAGTTTTGAATTTTGCTTATCAGCTGTACTAGAGTACGTTATAGTGTTCACATTCATAGTTTTTTTTCTCCCTGGTACTGCCATTCTCACCAGCTCTCTCGCCTTCTTGATGCATACTTTAAACAATCAAATTGTCATAGGATTGTAAGGGAGGTCTTTTAGCCCAAACCTCTGGCTATAGCAGATTTCCTCAGACCATCCCTGACAAATGGCTGTCCAACTTTTGCTTGAAAAGCTCCAGTGATGGGAGGTCCACAGTTCCAGGAGGCAGGTTGTTCCACTGCTTTATAGCATTCATGGTCAGGAGATTCCTCCTTCTTCTGAGTTTGGATCTCCCTCTATAAAACTTCCACCCATTGGTTCTTGTGCTGTCTTCGCACTATGGAGAATCAATCCACACCCTCTTCCCTGTGGCAGTACTTCAAGTATTGGAAGACAGCTTTCATGTCTCCCCTCAACCTTCTCTTCTTGAAGCTACCCAGTTCCTCTGAGCATTCTTCATAGGATTTGGTCACCAATCCCCACCCCCACCCCATCTTTGTGGCCTTTCTCTGTACTTCATTCTATTCTCACTCCAAAGAGGACCTTCTTTTGCCATGTGTTAGAATGCCTGCCCTCTGAAGAGCACACCCTCTCTGAATGAGCCGTCTGCCTTTTGGAAAGGAAGCTAGATCAGCAGTATGTACACACTGTTTAAGCTGTTCCTGTCCTGGGTTCATATTGGCTTGACTTTCAGTCAATTTGACACAATCCTCTTACTCTTTGGTAACAGTTCGCAAGTTATTCAGTCCAAACTGCAGGCTATCTTGTCCTCCCATTGAACAATTCCCCTTCTGCTGTGCCCTCCCACCTTTCTTGCTCCAGGAAAGCAACTGCCTGTATATGGGTCTCCTGGACATACATACATACTGTACATGTATATGTGCTAGGGTGAAGCCCTTCTGCCTTGAGTGAATGGTAAAATAGTGCACAACTGCACTTACTGAAAATAATAATAAAGCAGTGGGAGAAGTAGGAAACTCAGAATAAAAAATGTTAAAAAATCAGCTTCTAACTGGGTTTCCAACCAGCAGGCTTCTATTTACAAGGCAAGAGTTACGGTGCTTATGATAAAAGGGTGATCTAAAAGGTATTGGAGCTAATGAGACACCGTGGCTCAGCTGAAAGGGCATTCCTTCCTTTACAGGAGTATTACGAATGTTTGCCGCCTTGTGTTATATATAAAAAAGGCAGAATAAAATCATCATCATCATTATCAGCATCTTCATCATCATGCTAGATGGTAAGGAAGTAAAGCATGCCAGCCAAATGGGCAACAGCACTTAATGCAACATAAGAGACAAGCTCTATTTTTAAACCACAGAAGGAAAACATCTGGAGATTGAATTTCTAATGGGTGGGAGATGAGCAAGTGCTGACATCCATTTCTGCCCTCAAGAAATAGTTGCTGCCCATAGTGTCAAAGAGGCAGCTAAGCAGTGCTGATAAGCCCTGAGCCAGAAATTGGGCACAGACCAATCTCTCAAGTAATTCAGGAGGCAGAACTAAAAGAAAGGGTTAATCAAAAAGTAAGTCCTGCAGCATAACCAGAGATAAGGAGAAAACATAAGACACATCAGAGTCTAGGAAGACCTCATACTCCTTATTGCTCTGAAGATGCCAACAGCTAGCCTAACCAGAGCAATTTGACTCCTTAATCATGTGGAGGGCCTCCATGGATACATGAAATTGTTCCTCTGCCCATGGACAGCAAGCAGCCTGAGGTGGGTGGGGCTAGTTCATCCCAGCACCACCTGAATGTCCATGCAGTTTTGCTACTAGCCACAACATGTTGAAGAGCATATTCAGTATGTGTCCCTTTCAAAAGCCAGATGCCCCAGACATCCTTTTGATCAGGGTTTTTAATTATTAGATTTTTGTGCCACCTTTATCTTTGGTCAACTCAAGGCAGCTTATATGCATAATGCTCCCACTTCCTATTTTCCTCACAACATCAACCCTGTGGGAGAATGGTTGGGCTGAGCTGGCTTTCATGCCTAAGGGAGAAGTAGACCTCACGGCCTCCTGCTTTCTAGCTCAGCTCCCTAACCACTATGCCAAATTTGCATATATATTTTCATTCTCCCTCTCCCTCTGGTATTTAATAAACTGTTTCTGCTGTACTTTTCTGATCTGGCCTGGCATTTTTGTTTCATGATTTTGAAGGCTTTTTTTTTTTCCTGTCAAATTATTTAAGATGTTAAGATGTTTTTTAAAAATGCTTAGCTATTATTTCTGTTTCCATAGATTTTAGTTTTCCATAGATGGTTTGTTTTGAATGACTTATTCCCTGGTTTGGAGTTGTTTTGAATGGTGAAAAAGTGGGATTGACTTTCTAGAGAAAAAAAATAAATGGTCTTATGTTTTAGGCAACTCGATTCTATGGTTGACAAAGGGAGTGTGGGAAGAACCTCTTGTTTTGGAACGGACAGAGATTAGGCACACAGCCCAATTTCTGCACAATCAAGCTAAGCTGATGGGTAGAGAGGAAAAAAAACACATCCAGTTAGAATTATTGTGCTTTGCAAAGTCTAAAACATCTGCCTGGTGTGAGGCTTATTTCTCTTTGTTCTCTGTCTGAAGATGAATTGCTGGATTAGTTCCACTCAAGAAGTTCAATGCATAACTAAACATACCTCTGATGTCTTGAGGATATCCACTCAGTGGGGAAGTCTGCAACCCAATAGTGAAGCAGGAATAAAAGGAACTCCCTTGTGACTACGGTGCACCCAGGTGTGAAATCCTGAGCTGTCATTTCAGCAGCATGTCAGTATGTGAGTAACAAACTGGCTTCTGGCAAGCTGAAGTGATAGAACGAGCCACAGTTCTAGCAAAGGAGTTTCAAACAATGTAAAAATTGGAGGGTGGGGTTTTTGTTTTTTTTGGTAAATATTGGATTTGCAAAATATTTGCATTTGTTTGAATTTTGTTTTGGACAAGATATCCCAGCTGGGGAAAGTTGACAGAGCTCTCAGAAACCAAAGATTTAGTTAATGTTGTCTGTATGTGTCTTTAATTATATATTTATTTATCTCATGGATAACCTTCTCTTTCCTCTAAGAAGAGTTCAGTGCAGGTTTCACTGTATGCAAATTTTCCAGTCCAAAATGAAGATAAATATCCCAATCATGAAGCATTCCTCATCTCCATGGCAGCAAAATCAATAAACCCTAAGTCAGATTTGGAAATAACTTCAGTTAAAAACTCCTGCCAAGTTCACATGCCACCCAGAAGGGTCTCTAGCAAACCTGCATTATACTTATTTTCAAGCAACCACATGGAGGGCTATGCTGTAAGTCACATTCCTACACACTTATTTCCTATCAGTTTTGTAACAGCCTTGATGAAGTCTTTGAAGTCCTCTAGTCCATTCCCCATGTTGGCTGGGGAATTCTGGGAGTTGAAGTCCACCCATCTAAAAGTTGCTGAGGTTGAGGAACCCTGCTCTAGCCTATCTTTGGTTGGCTAAACATCTACAGCACAGATGTGACAGATGTGTGGTACAGATCCCAGACATTAGAACTCATGTTTTGATTGCAGGGAGTGAGGAAGCTCTTCATCTGTTTCTAATACTTTGACCTACAGAAACTGTTGGGCTAGCAAGCAAACAAACAAACAAACAAATAAAATCTTTTCCCCTATTGCTGTAGGATATGATGAACATCAATCTAACCTCCTCAGCGTGGTCCATGTTTTCATTGTCTTAGGTTGCAATGCTATATTTAGGAACCTGAAAATATGTCCCACTAAAATCACAGAGTTGGAAGGGGCTATTTAGAGTCCAATCCCCTACTCAACTTAGAGCATCATTTTAAAGCCTCCCCACCAAATGGATGTCCTGCCTGTTCTTGAATACGTCCAGCAAAGAAGCATCCACCACCACCCGAGATAATTGGTTCAGTTACTGAACTGCTCCTGCGAATACAAATGTTTTGGTAACATTAAGCCACAATTTCTACTAACCAGAGCGTCTTGCCTCTTGGTTGACAGAGAATGAGTCAAGAACAATGTCTTCTGCGTGACAGCCTTCAGATAACTATTCACTAACTAACCGTAAAAGGATTTCTGTCACAACACACATGAAAAGGAACATGCTATTAGCTTTATTATAGGGGGAAAGGGGAATGTCAAGGTTTTAGTAGCAGCTTGTGTGTAGTACAGTGTATGTTCTGCCACTATATATCATGAGCAACTGTCATTTAGAAGAGTTAGGATTACTCATACATAAGACCCGTGGAATGAGTCTTCTGATTTTTTAAAGGAATGCAGCTGGGAATGACAAATCCTATAATGGAAATACAGTCACGCTGTTTAGGAAGGACACTTCATAGATTGGGAAATGGTTTTCTAGTTTTACGTCTTCCCCATTGAGCAGAAAGCTCTTGAATTTTTCGGCTTCAGAATAAACGAGGAGGCTTTCCGAAAGCCCAGTGAAACCCACAGAGGAAAAAGGGGAGAGCAAAGGACAGAAGCTAATGTCAGAATCATGGAAAATACTTGGAAGCACTGGGAATTGTTTAAAAAATACCCTTTGATTAGAATAGCAACAAAAATGCTAATCTGCAATTGAAGAGGAAAGCTTCTAAAGTAGCTCACAAATAGCATGAATTATTCAGAGGCAGGTTATTATTTTTCGTCTGTTATTTTGCATATGATTGAAGCTTCAAACCTGGTGCAAATGCACAAATTCAGCTCAGCGCTGAAGTGGGAAGAGAGACATGTAACAGTCTCCAGCGTGGATTTTCAATTCTCTTTAGTCCCAATAAACTACGATAGTTTGACCTTCTATGAGAAGCTCCACTTCCACTCTAATTGGTGCTTGCTTTGATTTATGCAGCTGTAACCTAAGTTCAAAGCAGAATCTCTTTTTGTATTTAGGGTGAATTAATCTAGCATCAGGGAAAAGCAATAATGAGAGACAGAATCATATTAACTTTCTCAAATCATTCTCCACCACCAGATTCCAAATGAAGCTGAGGACAAGCCAGATTTAGTGCAGCCTTTCCCTATCGGAGACATTGAGACTACAACTTCCAAAATTCCCAGCCCAGGTGAAATAAGTGAGTGTTTTCAAAACCCTGTTGGGTCATTGTGCATGAAGGAGGCATCTCTCGAACTGGAAGGGACGCCACAGGACTGTGCAATGTTTGTGGAATGGAAGAAACAGCCAATTATGTCTTTCAGGACAGTTTGAAGTACAGTAATAACAGAGGTCAACCCTTCGAGGTAGGCCATGTCAGGAAACAAGAAATACTAGAACTCTATTTTATTTTATGGCCAGAATAACAGAATCTTGAAAGCCTGACTACACTTTTCCTTCCCTCAAGGTGGGGCAACATTAAGTTTCTTTCTCAAACTTTGTTTTCCTGGGCTAAGCTCATGTTTTATTAACAGTTGTCACATCAGGGTCTTTGTGCATCTCATACTACTGGGGCAGAGATAATTTAACTTGGGTATTTGAGTTCTTTCTTTAAGAAGGTATAACAGAGCAATGCAAAAAGCCTTGCAGCTTTTGTGGATTTTTTTGGAATGTGGAATATCTTGGAAAGTGTGATTTATTGTGACTGTACAGGTTCTTTCTGTAGGTAGCAATATCAGGGCCTACATGGGCCTTGCATCACCATTATCCAAAAGGCAGAGGAAGAGGAGAACTTCCAACCATCATGTTAAAATTTCTGAGAGTTCTTCCAACATATCTGATGGAGGCCAGATTGTGAAGTTCAGCTTTCATGCTCAATCTTCTATGCCACCACCATTCTGGTTAGTAAAAAAATTAGGTATGATGGATCCAGGATTATCTCCAGGCTGATGTTCTAATCAATGATGAATCCACAAACATCTGACCCCAAAGGCATACCCCTGGTTTTACAAAATCCTCACAGTCAAGGTGGCTTCTCAGATTGAGCTGTTTGTATTGAGAACATGTGGAGATGTTTTTATCTTTTCTAATCTCTTTCTTTTGGAATCTGTCGTTTCACTATTTTTGGCATTTAGCTCTCTAGGTCCTCCTTGGTTATGACAGAATCTCCCCCTTTACATCAGCCTGGTGGATAGCCATGTCCTGTCAAAGCAGCTGGATATCAGAACCAGAGAATCATGACATTCCACAGAGCATTTAGCAGCAGTGTGACCTGGCTGATTTCCACCTCAGCTGTCATGAAGAAGCCCAGAAGACAAGTTAAGGTAGATAGATGTACTGTACCAGCATTTTAGCCTGGAGAATGTGTGCTAAAGTAGCACTGTTGTTCTTACACTCTTGGTGATTCCTTGCAATAACTGAGGTGAAGCTTCCTTCTCCTGTTACTCTCCATGAGCCCTTTCAGAGATAGACAACATTTCCAAGGGTAATCTGTGTACATGTAATCTGTCTCACTTGTAATCTGCATTTGCATAACCAACCTGTCTTCCCCCCACTTCCCCTTCACCTCACCTCTCCCCACCCCAGTTTGAATCCTACATCAATCTAGCCATCTTTATCTATGTATCTGATGAAGTGAGTTGCAGCTCACGAAAGCTTATGCCTTTTAACAAAATTTGTTAGTCGGAAAAAGCCCTACCAGACTCCTCCTGATGTTTTACCACCACAGACTAACACAGCTCTCCTCCTTCAATGCCTCTATTTCCAGGAGAGAGAGATCTTGTAAATCTCACAGCTTCTTGAATCAAAACAGACCTGACTGTCATGGCCATGTGGTCAGTAAAATTAATTTACTAAAGTGTGAACTCAGTTACAGAGTAAATTTCAAAAGCTAGTATCTTGTACAAGCACTAGCAGTGATACTTCTAGAGAATTTCAGACCCTGGATTTAAAAGTCTTACTACCCTCCCAGTTACTTTAGCTGAGAAACATACAATTAGCTTTCCTCAGTTTTCACCACTTCTGACCCTTTATTGCCCTTATCTAAAGCCCTTCCAATTTGTTTGCATTTTTCTTGAAGTGCAGTGCTCAAAATGGATCAGCGCCTTTGATGAAGGTTGGCTAATGCAAGGCTCACATTTATCTTTTCTTCTTTCTCACCCCATTCCCATTCTATGCTGTACATCAGTTTCTATCTACAGCACAGTCACCAAATACATTGTGACTGTACTTACCTCCCTACAGACCTTCCCAACTGAAGCTGAAGGAAGTCACAGGGCATGACTCTTTTGCCCTCCATGCATTTGGTCTTTGAATGTAAAAAGAGGGCTAGTTAAGAATCTCTTGAATTAAGCTTCTGTCTCTTGAATAGAATATGCAAGTGTGCTTATTTTACTGCAAGTGCAGATAACGTGATGTCTTTACACATTTAGTCTCAGAGCTATAAGATAATATTAAATCCTCTACTGACACTCTTAATGATCATTTCTGCTCAAGACAGCTAACAGAGATCGGACTGTCTACATCTATTGCTGTGCCCTTAAAGTGGGCAAAGAGAAAGATTATGCTGAGGAGGACATCAAAAGAAGACCACTTGTTTTGAACTGTGCTCATTCAGAACGTCATGCTAAAGGAAGTGCATATGGGAGAAGGAGGAGAGAGAACACTTTGCAACAAAATATCCCTAGATAAAGCTTCCGATTAAATACAAAGCAGTCAAGTCAAAATTATTGGTGACAATTACTGTAACTCAATTAGGTACAATAGCAAATGCGCTTCCCTAAATCATTTTCTCAGGTCTCCAAGGAGGCACACAAGGAGTAGTATATGAGGTTCATTTAATCTCTAACGTCGTAATTATCACTACTGACTAAAGAAAACTACAACAAAGCAAGGAAATAAATTTAACAGTTCATGTTTTAATAAACATTTTATGGGTAACCCAGTTAGTTTATAAACACTTAATTAATATCATTGGCTTTGCAGAAATTCTTGCCAAGCTTTTGGCTGCATGAGACTTCATGACAAAATGCCATACTTCCATCACTTCTACCATGGGAGGTAGCCGTAGTATTTCATTCTTAAACATTTTCACCTATTCATTGAGATTGAGATACGTCTCTGTTCTTGCAATCCTTTTCCCCCTCAGCTGCTGGGATTGGCTTCCAAGCATTTATATCAGATTAATGCACATTATTAAAAACCACAATATTAACAGCATGTTTTATTCACATATATGTTGTTATTTAAATTTGTTATGACTGCTCACTCCAATAAACTCTATACAACTGTATACCTCAGATTGTAGGGAGAGAGATGAGATACTACAGTAAATTGGGATCACAACTCCTAGAGTTCCCAGTAATTTGACCATGTTGCTGAGGTTTGGGTAATCAAAGGACACAACTGGAAGGTATCCATTGGACAATAGATAAAGCTCATCCTCATATCACCCAAACTGCAACACAAGCATGTCCCAGTAATTATTTTCTATGTGATATCTTTGGGACATTGTTTTCATTTCATCCCCAGCTTATAGCTGAAGGAATTCAAAATCACTTTTAGCTGTTATTGTTTTTAAGCAGCATTCTTTCTCTTCTTCAGAACGATTTTTGCCATGGATATGATCTAACATGCTTTATCATTGATGCGATTGCTGATGCAGTCAGAGGGGATCTACCCAACTCCTATTGGCCACATTAAGCTGCTATGGATGTGTCCACTCCCACCTGCTTGTAAGATATTGTCCTTCATAGTCATTTTGCCTTGAGCTGCAGGAAGGACCAGACATCTGACTTCTGCAGACACTGATCTATGTAAACCCTGACTGGTGTTTTTTCCAAAGTGCTTATCAGGCCTTTTCATATAAATATGGGTTTAGTGCTCTTTTGAGCTAGAGCTGCTTGTAAAAATAACCAACTCTCTTGAAAGAGTGCTTTACAGAAAGTTGGTTTAAACCAGGAGAGGGAGATGGCTTCCCAATGTGTGTTTTTGGTTCTGTCACCACTGGGGGCATTACAGGTTTTCCACTGCTTTTGCCAACAGGGTGTTTCACATGGCCATACTTTGTAAAGTTTTTATTATTTGGGGGAAACAGCATTTTGCTTATGTTCTGTCTTCATGCCCATCCATGGGCTACCTTTAGGTGCTGCTGGCCTACTCACCACCAGTACTATCATTCACTTGTAGCACCAGTTGAGGATGGAACTTATTTGTTACTGATGGCTCTCTCTTGCTTTACCACGTGCCATTCCTCCATGTCTGTTACTTGTCACCCAGGTTATTTTAGTACACAGGTTTAATGCTGTTTCAGAACAGTTGACCGCATTAAGAGCTGTCCACATTAAGGACAACCCCAGTCACCATCCTTTCTGTGGCAGAATAGGACTTTACAATTAGGACTCCAAATTTTAAGCCAGCATATGTTTCTGTCAGCTCAAGTACTGACCAATAGCATTTTAACACAGACATCTGGCTATGCTGATATACAAGATAGAAAATTATTTTATGTCCTAAATTTCTATAGTATTGTTTCCATATAAAAAATGGTGTATAGCCCATAAGTATAATCATGCATGATAAACGTTAATGTCCATACTATTTTAAGCCTAAATAGCTGCACATTATTCTGCATTTTATTTGTATTTTATACATACCCCCACAGTTTTTCTTTGTTCATATTGTGATAGTTATATTGTGATGAATTATAAAAAAAAGTCTTCACAACAAAAGTGCGTCTATTTGGTCATGTATATATGAAGCTCTAGTCCTACAGAAACATAGCAATGTGGACTTGTGCAAGTTTATCTTTTGGGATAAACATGCAGAGCATGAGAAGTTTTTTGTGCATAACTGCTCTGCCTGTAGGACATTCATAACAAATAGAGTAACTCTGAAAGCAAAATAGTATGTCTCCTTGGCTCTCCAGCCCTCATTCTTTATTCCCAGTTGGATTGAAAAAAGTAAACTCAGAACCTCATATGCTACACAGATTTTATGCACAATACAGACATTTCTTTGCTGGTACCCAGAACAGAATTTATGCCCTGGCCTTGCATACTGTACAAAGGAAGAAAAGCTGATTATTCATTCATAGCGCGCGCATATACACACACACACAGACCCAAAACATATTATGGTATTTTTCTTTTATGCAGAAAAGATAAGATCTGTGTTAGAAAAGAGTAGGACTCCTACTTATGTAAACTTTAGTCCCTTCACACATCTAAAATACCCTTACTGTCAGTGACCACTGCTCAAACACAGATGAGTCTACAAAGTGGAAGCTGATATACGTAGACCTCCAAGTAGAATTCCCAGTAGTGTTTCTGCTCCCGTGGAAGCCAAGTGCAGGAAATTTGGACTTTGGTTATTGCTTTGTCCCTAAAGCAAATTCACTTCTGTCTAATCGTTTTTCTTTTTGGAAGTTAGTACAAAACATTTCTCATTTTTTAATGAAAAGTACAGTATTTCCATGCTTGTTGAGGGAGAAAAAAAAAAATCATCTGGAGATTTTCATATGATTGTTATTGTGCCATTTGATGTTATTCTGGTCGTTCCTGATTTTCTGAAATGTGTAAGTAAGCATAGTAATCAATCACTCTGTTAATCAAATCAAATAAGTTATTAATTAATTATTGATGGTAGAGATGCTTGAATCAATATTAAGTTTGCATTGGGTCCCAGTCTGCTTCCGGGTCCAATTCAAGGTGTTGGTTATCACCTTTAAAGCTGTTCATGGCATGGGACCGGGTTACCTGAGGGACCATCTCACCCCCATTATATCCACCCGTCCCACCCGGTCAGGCAGGGAGGGTATGCTGCGGATCCCGTCGATGATAGAATGTTGACTGGCGGGGTCCAGAAAGAGACCCTTCTCTGCCATGGCCCCTGTCCTCTGCCAGAGGTGAGGCAGGCCCCAACCCTCTTGTCCTTCTGAAAAGCAGTCAAGACCTGGCTCTGTCAAACAGCATGGGCGCAAAAAAGGGCAACCAACCCTGGGGGTGGCTAGCAC